ACATGGCAGGTGGGCCTTCCATGCTGCCTGGATACTGGGATGGATTCTCTAGGGGCTACAGCCTCTGGGCAGCCTGCTGAGGCTCTGGGTACTTCACACAGGGGTCTTCATGCTGGTGGCTGGAGGCATCGTGGCTGGGATCTTCCTGATTTTCATCGAGATCGCCTACAAGCGACACAAGGATGCCCGTAGGAAGCAGATGCAGCTGGCCTTTGCAGCAGTGAACGTGTGGAGGAAGAACCTGCAGGTAGGACAGGCCACCCTCCGAGGCCTGGCGTCCAGGGCCCCGCCAGGCCACGGCCCTACTCTATCCCTACAGGCCGTGGCACTGGCTCTGGCTCATGGGCAGGACTGGTGCTAGGAGCCATGGCCAGGGGCAGTGGTGAGTGTTCCCAAGACACAGGGGCAGCACAGGCAGGAGCTGCCTGCAGGTGGCCACCCACTGCCAAGCTGGGCCAAGGGAGGCCATGCACCCTGCTCCAAGCTTCTGCCTGGCCCCTCTGTTTCCAGAGCCACCCACTGGCACCCAATCCATAGGAAGGCAAACAGGCAGGGTAAGACAAGGGCCCACCCGTGTGTAGCACGTGATCTGAGATGCATTTGGCCCTCTACCATCCAAGCTCCTTTGATACCCCTTCCGGAGACCCCTTTTCTTACTGTGTCCAGCTCTGTGACTCCAATCTAAATGGGGCTGATCTGCCTCTCCCTGGTGCCTCGGGCCACGTCCATGTGGATTTGTGGCTAGCTGCATGCGGGATGGTCAGAACCCACCAGGGAAAAGGGCAGGGTGGGCAGTGAGGTTCATGCAGGCCTGAAGACTAGTGGCCAATGGCCAAGTTCCGACTCACTTGTCTCTTCTCTTTCTCTGGGTGTCTTGCTGGAGCTGTGTCCTGAGCTGACATTGACACTGCAATGAGGGGTGTGGGGGGACAGGGCTATTGGAGCCCCCACATCTCTCATCCACCCATTCTTGCTTTTGGCCCTACAGGTCCCCTGGGGACCTGGCCACAGCTGTCCAGGGCCATGCTGGCCATCAGACTCCAGGCCAGTGCCCCCGGATCTGCCTCTGTCTATCACTCCAATTCCAACCGGACACCTCCTTGGGTCCTTGGCCCCGTCCTGGTGTGTGCCTTTTGGGGTCAGCAGCCTCTGAACAGAAGGGCTGGTGTGGCCTGAGAGGAAGCTCTTCCTGTCCTCAGGGGCTCCTCCTCCTCAGGATGCCTCTAAGCCAGGGCCACCCAGGAGCCAGGGAGCCAGGCGGACATCCCAGGAAGAGTGCCAGCAGGACCCCCAAGCCCAGCCCCAGCACAAGCAAGGACAGGCTCAACCCCGGGCAGAAGAGGCCACTCTCGAAAGTCTGGCTGTTGGTCGGTCTGTTCAGCACAGTGAGGCAGGCAGGATTCAGGGCCTGAGTGGCCGGCCAGGCCTGGCAGCGGCCCCCAAGGAGCAGGCAAGGGCAGGAGTGGCCGCCATCCTTAGCCATCTAATCACTTATACATATTCATTTTAGGATAGAAAGAGTGGTAGAGCAGAGCCCGACCCTAAAAAGAAAGCCACATTTAGGGCTATCACCTCCACCCTGGCCTCCAGCTTCAAGAGACGTAGGTCCTCCAAAGACACGGTAAGGGGGAAGCACCCCAGTCCCGCGTCTCTGACTCCTCCCTTGCCCCATGTCTGTCTCCCTCTCCCTCACCATCCCACCCCTGCCCCCCCCCCCCCCGCCTCCAACCCTGGCCGTCTGTGCCGATGCCCCGAGTCAGTCCTTCACCCACCCTCCACCCATACAAGGGTGCTGTCCTTTAGAACTCTCCGGAACTCTCCCCGAGCCCTCACTGGTCCTCAGCTTCCCCATGTGTCTCCACGTTAGTCCGCCCACCTCTCTCCCCATGCCATGACCCACACACCATCTGGAAGCCGTGTCATGTTGTTGGTCAGTCAGTCAGCCTCACCATCTCTCCGGGCTACCCAGACCCTGGGAACTAGAGCAGCCCTGTCCCAGGTTGTCCCTGCCAGGAGGCCACACCACGTCTGTTTCATCCCTGTTTCTCTTGCCTCCGCAAGGGGCTCGATGCCCTCATTCTTGACCTGCAACAGCTCTGGAGGGTGTAGCCGTGGTGTCCCATCCCGTCCGTCTGTCTGGCCGCTGGCCCCGCCCCCCAGACACCTGTCTCACCTGTCTCACCAGAGCCATGCGTGTTGCATCTTCCATGTGGTCTCTGTGTGGGCCGGGGGCTGGGGGCTGGGCCTGGGTCCATCTGGGTGGACGGCTGGGGCCTAGCGTTGGCACTGACCCTTGGTCACAGGGAAGACTGTCAGGTGGGGAGTGGGGTGGGGCCAGGCTGAACAGGTCCCTGATGGAGGTGTGGCCGCATCGCCCAGGTGGTCTGAAAGTCCCAGGCCTGAGCGCCCAGGGCAACCCTGACGTCCTCAGAGGGAGGCCGAGGAAAGGGAGGCTAAGACCAGTGCTTCAGCTCAGACCCCCAAGCACTGCCACAAGGCCACTGTCAGAGCCAGAAGCCCTGTGCCCTGCCTTGGGCATCATGCCACTGCACCAGAAATGCATACTCAGAAGAAAGTCCTCCAAAGGATCCCCATTTTGCCAGTCACCCTGGTCCTAGGCAGCTACCCTCTAGCCTCCAGGAAGCCCCTCTAACCAGTGGGCAGTGTCACCACCAGGGGCTTGTGTCCCATGAAGAATCTGGATGTGTAGTTATTGCACCCTATGCCCAGGAAGGAAGGCAGGTACACAGACAGGATTGGGTACAGAGCAATCCAAGTTCCAGGCTGAAACTACTAGAGTGCTCCAGAGAGACCCATGAGGCCCGGCTGCTCAGTTCTCTGAGGGCCTTGTACAGCAAGAGTGGTCGGAGCGTGAGGGTCTGTGGGCTGCACCAACTTGAGGCTCCAGGAGCTGGTGCAGACACAGTCTCCGGGGTCCCCCAGACCAGGGAAAGTGGGCACGGCCCATGCTACAAGACCTGAGCCAGGATCCCCACAAGGGGGCGCAGGGGAGGGAGAGCAGGGCTGAGGGCGCTGTGGGCTGGAACTTGTGTGGGAAGCGAAATCTGACAGAGAAGAGAATCTGTACTTTCGGGGCCAGGTGGCCACAGTGGGGAGAGTACAAAATTCCTGCAGGGGGCAGGCCATTTTCAGAGGGCGTCACTCAGTCTTGGGGCCCCATCTGGAGCTGGCCAGGTACAGCTCAGAGATCTACACGGTTCCTTTCTGGGCACTTGTTCTCAGTTCAATCTTTACCTGAGCCTCCCTGGGCACCAGGGACCCGTTCTTCCGGGCCATCTGAAGCTGGCCCCACCCTGCAGGGTTGACCTCTGGGCATTGCCACTGTGGGCAGGGTGGGGGAGGGTAACCCAGCTCCCACCCTGTCTCTGGGGCTGGGTGCTGTTCAGAGGGCGGCCTGGGTGGGGGCTCCTTTGGGTGGGGTGGGGTCGGTCCAGCTGCTGAGATCCTCTGCCCCTGTCCTGTGGCCGGTCCGGGCCAGGGCAGCACTGGGCGCTCAGGGCTGGGATCCCTGGTGGCCGGCGGGGCCAGCAGGTATTGATTGTTGGTTCTTATTTATAGAGCACCGGGGGTGGACGCGGCGCTTTGCAAAACCAAAAAGACACAGTGCTGCCGCGACGCGCTATTGAGAGGGAGGAGGGCCAGCTGCAGCTGTGTTCCCGTCATAGGGAGAGCTGAGACGCCCCGCCCGCCCTCCTCTGCCCCTCCCCCGCAGACAGACAGACAGACGCACGGGACAGCGGCCTGGCCCACGCAGAACCCCGGAGCACGACGGGGTCGGGGGAGGAGCACCCCCAGCCTCCCCCAGGCCGTGCCCGCCTGCCCGCCGGTCGGCCGGCTGGCCGGTCCACCCTGTCCCGGCCCCGCGCGTGCCCCCGACGTCGGAGCTAACGGGCCGCCTTGTCTGTGTATTTCTATTTTACAGCAGTACCATCCCACTGATATCACGGGCCCGCTCAACCTCTCAGATCCCTCGGTCAGCACCGTGGTGTGAGGCCCCCGGAGGCGCCCACCTGCCCAGTTAGCCCGGCCAAGGACACTGATGAGTCCTGCTGCTCGGGAAGGCCTGAGGGAAGCCCACCCGCCCCAGAGACTGCCCACCCTGGGCCTCCGGTCCGCCTGCCCTGCTGCCTGGCGGGCAGCCCCTGCAGGACCAAGGTGCGGACCAGAGCGGCTGAGGATGGGCCAGAGCTGAGCCGGCTGGGCAGGGCCACAGGGCGCTCCGGCAGAGGCAGGGCCCTGGGGTCTCTGAGCAGTGGGGTGAGGGGCCTAAGTGGCCCCGGTCGGAGAGGTCTGGAGCAGAAATGGCAGCCCCATCCTTCCTCCAGCCACCACCCTAAGCTAGAGTGGGGGCCCATGGCCCCAGCTGGCTAGGTCACCCACCCACCCCTCCTCCAGCGCCTGCTCTCTGCAATCTGAGTTCCACCTCTCTCCTGCTGCACCACCCTCCCATGACCCTTCCCCACTCCATTCGCAGGGCTGGCCCTGACCTTTCCCAGAGTCAGCCCTCACTGCCCTACTGGCAGCGCTTCCCAGGGGTGCTCTCTGGCTCCCAGCTGTCTACGGCTCCAGACTCCAAGAAGGCTGAGCCTTCTCTTCTGCCTGCAGCCACAATAGGCTTCCTCAGACGCTGGCTCGCAACGAGCCCCGCACCTTGGGCACCAAGGAGCGCCATTGGCCTCCCATTCGGGTGTCACTCACCCACCACCTTGTACATGACCAGCTCTCCCAGTGTCTAAGCGCGTGCCTTCCCCGTGCCACTAGTGCGTAGCCGCGCACTGCCCCTCTGCCCCAGGGACACCGGGCGCGCACAGCTACCCCTAACCCCGGTATTCAGTGGTGATGCCTAAAGGAATGTCAGAAAAATTCCGGTTTTTTGTCTATTGTTGACGCCTACAGGGAGTTTGAAGGGAGGCCAGGGATTTGGGGAGAGTTTTCAAAGTGCCCAGCACTGTGGGAGCACTAGAAACAACCGCAGCCCCTTAGGCTTGGGTTGCTGCAGCTGTAGGGCTCCCAGCACCCTCCTGGGAGGCTGGGCCCTCCGGGTCTAGCTGTCTCCTTAGTAAGGGGCGCACTGTGATGCGACGGCGCCGCCGCCGTGCACCACAGGCAGTGAGCACGGAGCCCAGTGCCAGGCAGATGGCCAGACTGGCAAGGAAAGAGACCGGCCCGAGAGCGTATACTACCGCCAGGTCTCGCGCTGCGAGTGGCTGAGCGCAGTGTCTGAAGGCCGCATCCGGAAAGGCTGTCAGTAGGCTGAGCGTCTGGCGTCTTGGAGACACGCAGAGCAGGGTCTCAGTTTCTGCGGGACACAGGAGCGGCATCAGATGGCAGCAATTGCACCAAACATTATCTGTCCTGCGCCCCAGATGGCTCACCTGAAGCGGGACGCGGGTGCTTGCGCAGCCAGGTGCAAAGCGGGCGCAGGGCGCAACTGCACGCCCAGGGGTTGCCACGCAAGCGCAACACGTCGAGCGCGGGCAGGCTATTCAGCAAACCCGCCTCAAGCGCCGACAGTGAATTGTCCTGCAGGCTGAGCACGCGCAGTAATGGGAGCGCGCCCAGGATCGAAGGCTCCAGGAGTGTCAACCGATTACCCGCTAGGGAAAGGAAACGCAGCGCCCGCAGCGGCGCGAAGGTGCCAGGAGACAGAGTTTCCAGCTGGTTGGCGCTCAGATCCAGCCGTTGCAACACGCCCAGACCCCAGAAAGCTCGAGCGTGCACGGACCGGAGCTGGTTCTCCCGCAGGTCTAGGTATAGCAGCGAGCCTGCCCCAGCGAAGGCACCTGGAGGCAGTGCGCTCACACGATTGTGATCCAGCAGTAGCGAACATACTCTCCAACTCAGGCCCGCTGGTACCGCGGGCAGCTCGAGTGCGGAGCAATTGGCCTTGCCACCTAGCGAACATGAACATGCCTCCGGGCACTCGGGAGCCCCCGGGGATCTGGAAGGGGCAGTTCCTACGTGCTCCTGGGTCCAGACTCGCCTCAACGACAGCAGCAACAGTAGAGACAGTTGCGGCGGACGCCGCGAGAAAAAAGAGGCCCGCATGGGGGCAGCTTGAGAACACAAGGGGACCCAGATCCCTGTGCGGCTTCGGAGTCTAGGTGACCCGGCGTTTGTCCCTGCCTCACCTACAAAAGTATTAACTCTCCTGCCCAAGCACAACAATTTCTGTCCCACAGCTGGTTCCTAGCCTTGGGCGGGGGCTAGGCACAGAGCCAATGCCCAATACTGCCAGCCACCTGTCCAGAGCTCGTCTTGGCTTGGCTCTGAGCCTGTTGTGGAGCTGATGAGACCACTGGACTCCCCATTGAGACCTAAAGAGCAGGATCAAACTCATCAGCTCCACACAGAATGTAACTCACAGTGCCTTGCTCCATACCCGTTTCAAAGTCATTCCTTTTCAGCAAAAAGACCATAGAGGCTGCTCAGTCCCTTGACAGAGGATAGATGAGGGTAAAAGCACATGATGGGCCTAAATGCAAAGGAAAGATCTTTGAAGTATAGATGGGATGACCTGCATGAGGCTAAAGAGGGAATGTAGGAGATCGGTTGCTTCAATCCCCTCCACCTTGGAGCCCGTGAGGACAGAGTCAGTGGAAAGGAGTGCTGGCCCAAGTCTGGTCAAGGCAGCTCCCTTTTGACTTGCCAGCTACAGGTCCTGTCTTGGGGAATCTGGGAAGTAGGAAGGGCCCAGGGTCAGTCATCTTTGTAAGACCAACAGTAGGAAGATGCAGAGAAAAGCTGAACTGGCCAGCTGGGCTCAGTGCCCCTGGGTGGAGACACCTCCTATGATCCATGACAAACACTACCTCCAGGGACTTGCAAGAAGGACAGCACACGATCACTAAATACTGTTTAATTCCCTGGCCTGGCTGCCCTCCACTACTCTGGCGGTGGAGGAGGTGGAGGTGGTGGTGAAGGCGGCTCCTCTAGAGGAACCTCCATGGGGATGGTCATGAGGTCAGTGTTCTCCAATGACGGCACGGATACCTCCAGGTCAGGGTCCAAGAGGTGGGACTCCACGTGCACCGAGTGCAGGTCTAAGTGATCTTCCTGGACCCCAAAGGGTCCCATCAACCTGTGTGATGGGCTAGGTCAGCATGATCTGGCAGGGCCGTGGCAACCCAAGAGAAGCCGGCCCTTGAGGACATTGCTCTGGATGCCACTGTGATCTGTACTTCCAGGAGTGGGCAGAGAGAGGACACAGCTCACCCTTGAGGTTTCCCCTGGCACACTTACCTGTCTTCCATGAGTCCGGGGCACGAATCACTGAGGGGGACAAAGACAGGTGTGAATTCTGGAGAAATGCTCATTCCACGTGCCTGGAAGCCACTGAAACCTCTTCCTATTACCCCCACACCCAACGTGCACTCTGGAAACACTATCCCCAGCCTCTCATGACATACCACCCTAAGAAGGGGCCCCTCGAAGCACGACTAACAGCCCAGGGCCCCACTGTGCCCAACTCCAAGTTCACGCACCCCTTGGACCGAAAGATACCGATCGCCACAACGACAAGAGCACAGAAACAGCTGGCGCTGACACCAGCCAGCACCACGATGAGGGCAATGAGGGCCTCGCGGCTGAGGCCGAGGCTGCATTCACAGTAGGTTCCAGCTGCAGAAACAAGGCCGCAAGCCCGGGGGCCAGTCACCTGCCTGTGGACACCTCAGATCCACACCCCCACCCCAGTGGCCCTCAGGACACAAATGGCTTGCCCTGCCTGGAAAAGGGAGGGACTCTGGCTGGGGGGCTAGCGGGAGGAGGCACCTGCAGCAGGGACGAGTAAAAGGGACAAACATGTCAAGCCAAGGGGGCTGCCAGCTGGGCAGGAGTAAGGCTGGGGACAGGGGGCCATGTCCAGCCCCCAGCCCCACCACACACCTCTAGACGGAACTCATTGGAAGGTGCTGACCTCACAGTGGAGCTGTGAGGCAGAGGGTGTGGGGGCAGGGCCTCAGAGCACCCAGGCTAGCTTGAACTTCATTCACACTTGGATGCTGGAATTCCAGGAGTCCCGGGCAGACAACCCTGATGGAGCGGGTAAAGGAGACAGGGTCTGCAGGCTCCAGCCAGATCTGAGCCACAGGGTAGTGGGGCTCCAGTTTTAAAGACAGACAGCACTTCTAGTTAAATGGGTGAGAACCCTGCTTTGCCCTCTGGTGTTGGGGACCAAGGCCTCAGTTTGCCTTTTTTTTTTTTTTTTTTTTTTGGTTTTTCGAGACAGGGTTTCTCTGTGTAGCTTTGCGCCTTTCCTGGAACTCACTTGGTAGCCCAGGCTGGCCTCGAACTCACAGAGATCCGCCTGGCTCTGCCTCCCGAGTGCTGGGATTAAAGGCGTGCGCCACCACCGCCCGGCCTCAGTTTGCTTTTTAACCTCAGAGCTCTGAGTGGAGTTTGGGCTGTACCAGGCTTCCTGTCAACAAAACCTTCCCAAGTTGAGGCAGGTCGGAGACAAGGAGGCAATGGGAGGCAGGGTAGGTACATGTGTTCAGCTGCTCCGCTTGGTTGCTTTGGAGGACTGAGCTCATACAGCCTTTAAAGCCCAGATTAGAGGACTGCTGGTATCCTAAGGAATCCTTGATCATCCACTGGGATGGGAGAGTCACGGGCTACATATGCCTGAGCAGAACACCACACCATATCCTTAGACTCTACCTCCAGGGAGCCGACGGCTCAGAAAGGGCTGCAGTCTCTGGCTCACATCTGTCAGGGCTCAATGCTCTGAGTCTGTTGCCTCTGCGATTAGACAGCCACTGACCAAGGGAACCAGTTTGCCTATAGGCTGGCACGGTCAGGGTTAACCTACACCTCTGTCCTGAACCTGGTGTCCCGGGCTGGCACGGTCAGGGTTAACCTACACCTCTGTCCTGAACCTGGTGTCCCGGGCTGGCACGGTCAGGGTTAACCTACACCTCTGTCCTGAACCTGGTGTCCCAGGCTGGCATGCAGTACAACCTCACCCTGCTGCCACTCTCCTCTGAGGGATCTGCCAAGCAAACTAAGAGGCAGAAGGAGGAAATGTCAGCCCCGCAGCTGACAAAGCCCAGCCTCCTGCCAGCTGGGGCCAACAGGGTGCCGGGGGGGGGGGGCACAGCTTAACCCAGTGGCCCTCATCACTAGGGACACCCCTGACAGTAAACACAGGTACCCTTCTAGAGTTGGTCGTCAGGAACAGCTCCTGACATGAGCTTTGTATTGGTTAAATGATGAGAACCAAGACTACCTCTCTGGTCTTTAAGGCACATCCACAAACTTAGTCTAAAGGACTGTAGGACAGAAGGTGTGCCTGAGGCCCAGTGGCTGGCACTGTCACCTGCCAGGCCAGCCTAGCAAGTTTATATCCTGGTTAGGACAAAGACACACCCATCTGTGGCCAGGTGGTATGTACCAGATAGGAACACCTTCATGGCCTCTGCTGTCACCAGAACTCAGAGGGACAGTTCTTCTTGTAGCAACAGCACTTTAGTGGGGTAGGGGGCAGGGTCTGAAAACTGGGACTAGAGAACAAACCTCACTCCTGAAGTACTGTGAACAAGGCTTCCTAGGTTTATGGGAACCCTTATGCTATGGCCAAGGATGTGTGCCTAATACCCACCTCCACCCCTTTAAAACCTGAGGTGTATGGCCAAGGTCATGTGCCTAATACCCGCCTCCACCCCTTTAAAACCTGAGGTGTATGGCCAAGGTCATGTGCCTAATACCCGCCTCCACCCCTTTAAAACCTGAGGTGAGATCCCTCTAGAACAGGAAGAGAAGGTGAAACCCTTGAAGGGGGATTTCTTCTCAGGACCCAAGTACAGAATAAGTCAAAGCCAGTAGCTGAGGATGAGAGAGGTGGGGGTTCTGTAGTATCAACTGGGGTTGAGGGGACTGGGAAGGGCATCTGGGGTAGTGGCAGCAGCTGAAACTAGGTGTGGTTTGTGGTCTGGGATCCACCTTGGGCAAGGATCAGGGTGTGCAAGGATCAGGGTGTGCAAGCAATGATTCCAAAGGGCTTTTGTTTCCTTTGAGGATGATGCCTCAGGTCAGGGTATTTCCTGCTTGAAAACAGCTGTTCTGGGACAGGGAAGCAAGAGCCCATACTGTGCTCCACCAGGTTCTAGTCTGTCCTTCACAGGGCTAGCCTGTCCTCAACTGGTATCTGAGACACAGCCTGCTTGCTCTCCAGGATGGCTGAGCCCTAACTTGAGGGAAAGGATTGAATTGGTTCCTGGTTTCTCCTCTTACCCCTGCCCTTGTCCTGTAATTCTGACTGCCGAGTCTTGAGGACATGGAAAAATCTAAATATATACATGTAAGCTTCCAGCAGTATGGCCATATATACTGGTGCAAGAAAGGGGAACAAAGGCCTAATCCTCTGGCCACCAGGGCATGTCCTTAAGTGGCCCTTCACTGCTGGACACAGGTATGTATTTGACTCAGGTTGCCTCCCTTGGAAGATCTCATGGAGTGCTGAAGTCCTAACAGCAAAGTCTAGAATTAACTCCACACAGGCTACACAGAAGAGAAGACCCAAGAGTTCCTTTAAAGGCCACAAAAGCAGGATGGGGCTACAAGTCTAACTCAGGAGGCTCTGAGCAGCTAACCCTATTGACTCTCATCCAAACAAGTCCCAGCAGGGGTCCTGGGCAGCCTATAGATGACAGCTTCAGGGGATGTATTGCCCAAACACAGAAGTATAGGCTGGGGGTAAGCCTGGCTGCTTAGCGTAGCCCCATTACCTGCTGCTGGGAACACAGGCCCTGTAGAGCTAAGGTAGGGTGGCCATAGAGGACAAACCTGTATGTGTCCATGGGGTTCAAAAAACTACACAAAAGGATGAACCAATCTACTTTAATTTGTACTTTAGGTTTTAGGCAAGAAATGGACAGGGGCTGGGCACAGGGACATGGGGTCAGAAGGTAACCTAGCTGTCTATCCAGGGGCCACACAGGCATGAATACTATGGGTCAGAGCCTGGAAGGGGGACATCAGTTGCAACTCTTAGGCAGGCGATAGACACCTGCTGAGTAGATGAGCTGCTGGTCACGGACCTTCTTCTGCAGGTAGCCCTGGAGTTCCTGCAGGTCAATCTCAGCCAGTGCAGGGCCAGTCATTACAAACATTCGCAGCATGCTATAGATGCGCTCCAGAGAGAGGCTTTCTAGGTTGGTCAACATGGCTTGGATGTACGTCCAGAAGAGCTAGGAACAGAAGCCAGGCATGGTCAGTCAGTCACCTACTTGGCCCACCCCCAGCCCGCTACGGAAGTGGCCAACGCACCAGTAACTCCTCTTCCTTCTGGTCAGCCTGGGAGGCCATGCCTGAGTCACTCTCGTCGTCACTGTCAATCAGCACCATGTTGTCTCTGTCCTGAGGCCGCTCCTCCTCAATAACGGAGAAGGTGCCCGGGGGCTCCTCCCGCAGCACACCCTGCTGCAGCCACACTGACATCCGCCTCCGCAGCAGTGCCACGGGCATCTTCACCACCTTGCTCAGCTCCTCTAGGGTCCAGCTGGCTGTGCAGAGCCACAGGAATGCAGGGTACACTGGAGTTTATACCTTCTCCAATTCCTGCTAGCCAGCTGGGCCCCCAGAGGGACATGCATCGTCCAGCTTGACTCATGGGTAAAAAGAATGGTTGCTACCCCTAAATCCTACCCACACGGTGGGGGGTAAGGGAGGGGCTGTGTGTCACCTCACAGCTCACTGGACAGCAGTGCCTAGCACTGGCCCTAAGACAGGGGTTCTAGGGACTCACCTTGGTCCTGGAAATACAGCAAGACCACTGCCTGCACTGGGGTCACTGCCACAGACAAGGTGCGGTCAGCCAGCTCCACATCCATTGTCACCAAGCCCAAGGTGTGCTTCCAACTGAGGGTCCGCATAGCCTGTGCAGCAATCAGCAAGAATAACCCAGTGGGTTCCAGCCAGGGCCAGATGAACAAGGTACAGGCTCATATGGCATGCTACCTGGCAAGAAATGGCTCCTGCACCAATGGCCTGTACCAATGCCATCCCTAGCAGGCAACAGCAAGAGCGGGAGACTTGGTTCCAGTGCCCGGCTCCTGAGCAACCATAACAAAACTGTGGGCACTGCTGATAAACTGTGTCCCTCTCCTGTCTGACCCCTCAGTACCTCAGAGCGTGAACTATGTGCAAACAGAGTTGATGTAGAGGAAATTAGTTAAGAAGAGGTCATAATGAAGTAGGACGGGCCTTAATCTAATAAGACCGGCATTCTTTCAAGAAAAGGTTAAAACACGGGCACAGAAGGTAGTGGCTATGAAGCATAGAGTGGTCATATACCACAGGCTGGGAAAGCCAGGGAGTGCTTTCTTTTAGGTGTCAGAAGGAGCACAGCGTGGCCAGCACCGTGATACTGAACTTCTACTTTCCAGAACTAAAACAACAAACTTCTGTTGTTTAAAACTACCCAGTCCCCCTCTGTGAGTTGGAGGCCAGCCTGGTCTACAAATCGAGTTCCAGGACAGCTAGGACTGTTACATAGAGAAACCCTGTCTTGAAAAAATCAAAAAAATAAAATAAACTACCTAGTCCCTAACACTTGGTTACAGTAGTCACAATAAATGTAGACTCTGCCAGGTGGTGGTGGCACATGCCTTTAATCCCAGCACTTGGGAGGCAGAAGCCAGCCTGAGTTTTGAGGTCAGCTGAAAATACTGAAGTGGCTTTGGGACTGTACAGTAGGGAAGTATATGAAAGTTAGAGCCTAGACTGGTTGGAGACAAGTGGTGTAATATGGAAGATAAGGATGGTGCTGGCGAAGGTTCGGGAAGGGGAAGAGCTGTTATCATCCCAGAGGATGCATACGCCATGGAGAACAATGTTGGCAGAAACGTGGGCATTAAGGACCTTTTCTGGTGAGGGCTCAGATGGAAATGGGAAACACAATACTAGACACTGAGGCTAGTGAAAACTGCCAGATTGTAGCCAGACATTTTCGACAGTCTGCGTGACTTGTAGATCCAACTGATCATCTCAGCAGACATCAGTAACTGATGGGCTGTCCAGGAAGACACGGCTCCTCCGACTTTTTTTCTTAATCCTTAGTTTTTAGACTGAGCCTTACTACACAGCCCTAGTTGTCTTGAAACTTGCTATACAGAACAGGCTAGCCTCCACCAGTAGTGCTGCTGCTGTGCCTGCATTCCAAGTGCTGGGATGCCAGCCATGCAC